TCACAGACACCTCTACAACACAGACACCTCTACATCACCGATACTTCTATGTTACAGACACCTCTATATCACAGACACTTCTACATCACCGATACTTCTATGTTACAGACACCTCTATATCACAGACACCTCTATATCACAAACACTTCTACATCACAGACATCTCTACATCACAGACACCTCTACATCACAGACACTTCTATGTTAAAAACACCCCATTATCACACTTCTGTATTAAACACAGCTCAATATTAGAGAATAATTGAATGGAAACTCCTCTAAATGACAGGCAGTTCTATTCTACAAACACAGACCTCTATATTACGGACTCCTACATCGCGCAGATACCTTTTTTTACATACACCACTACATTATAGACACACCAAGATATTACGTACACCAAGTTATTACGTATCTATTTTGCACAGACACCTCTTTACTACAAAAAACTCTTATAAAAGATATCTATATATTTACATGTTTACCACTACATTGCATCGACACCTCTTCATTGCAGAACTTCTTCATTAACAGTGTACCTCTATATAAGATACGCCTCACCGTAACCCTATGTACACATACACATCTAAATTTCAAACAGCAATATATTGCAGAAAATACTATTTAATGACACGCACCTTTACTTTATAGGAGGCATTTTAATTTTATTTTACAAACACGACTATATCACAGACATTCTCTACATGACATTACATGGGTAGGTCTTCACCTCTCTCGAAACGAATTGTCGGATTGGCTGTGTGGTTCTTAAAAGAACAATGACACTTTTTGTCTTTTGTCTTTTTGTCTTCCGACAGGTGAAATCCCACCCCATGACATCTTAATGTTTCTTAGCTTTACATACATTAATTTACATGACATTACATCCAATGACGTGACATGACCTCACATGTGTCTCATTATATGGTATGACTCGACTTTAAATTGACCTTGACTTTAATTGACATTTGCTTGCATTACATTACATGACATTATAACTATTTACTTCAAATGGCACTGCATTAGTTTGCATGATATAGGAAGACAAAAATGACAAGAAACGACATGACGAGACATGACAAGACAAATTTCGAGACGATACGACAGAACACAACATAACGCGACATGACAAGACACAACACGACACGACAAGACACGACACGATATGACAAGACACGACACGATATGACAAGACACGACACAATATGACAAGACACGACACGATATGACAAGACACGACACGATATGACAAGACACGACACGACAAAACGCGATATGACAATGCACGACATGACATGAAACAACACAATATGACAAAACACGACATGAGACGAAACGACATGAGAAGACATAAACAGACATGACAACACACGACACGATATGACACGACGCGACACGACACGATATGACAAGGCACGACATGAGAAGACATGACATGATATGGCAAGCCCAGACAAGACGTCACATAACACTTACGTTGATTAACATGACGAAACATCACATGAACAGCTTGAAATGACAAAACATGACGTGACGTGACGTGWCATCACGTGACGTGACTGATCATGACGTGACATTTAATGAACGTCCACAAGTTACAGACACCGATAAGCCATTACATTACTACATATGGAGGATATTACACGGTGGCACGAAAATATATAAAAAAAAACATTAACATAAAAAAACGTGTTTTACGAGTGAATATTAATTACAAGTGATGTTCTGAAAGTCGAACAGCTTAACTGAATAAAATTCAGGAAATATTGATGTCAAAATCAAGCACAAACAAACATGTATTTTTTTAATCTAAGCTTACTGACTTTCTTGACACGGCSAAATCAACTTCATAACAATATTTTGAAGCTTAGAAAACATCAGTATTTCCATCTTCGTTTATAGAGGCCTCTCCACAGACACCTCTACACCACAGAAACATCTATATCACAGACACCTCTACATGACAGACACCTCTACATCACAAACACCTCTACATCACAGACACCTCTACATCACAGACACCTCTATATCACAGACACCTCTATATCACAGACACCTCTACATCACAAACACCTCTATATCACAGACACCTCTACATCACAAACACCTCTACATGACAGACACCTCTACATGACAGACACCTCTACATCACAAACACCTCTACATGACAGACACCTCTACATGACAGACACCTCTACATCACAGACACCTCTACAACACAGACACTTCTACATCACAAACACCTCTACATCACAAACACCTCTACATGACAGAAACTTCTACATCACAGACAACTCTATATCACAGACACCTCTGTATCACAGACACCTCTACATGACAGACATCTCTACATCACAGACACCTCTACATGACCCTACATCACAGACACCTTACATCACAGACACCTCTTCATCACAAACACCTCTATATCACACACACCTCTAAATCACAGACACCTCTATATCACAGACACCTCCATAACACAGACTCCTTTTCATTGCATACACCTCTATAATACAGATATTACAGACGCCAATCCATTACATACATTACGGACACCTAGACTTCATCAGACATGGGCCTCTTTACTACCGAAGGTCGTTTTGGATCGTTGGTGTTTGTATCATAGAGCTTTTTGTCGATGTGACTTGTATAAATCAGTGTTGTTTACTAACACACTATTAAATAGTAGAAAGATTTCAAGATTATTACATTTTACTTTTAATAATAGATTCTTTTTATAAAATGTATGTCATGTAAGAAGATTATAGATTTGTAAGATAATTAAATTAAGAAAGAAGTTCTGAATTTTAATAAAAAATGTAATTTTAGTCAATGTTAAGGGTTATATTTATCAGGAGGGGGGTAGGGATGKGGCAAAATCTAATTCCATGTGCTTAAAGAAGGGGGCCGGCAACATATAAAATTAACTAGAACTTYAATTAGAAACTGAAAACTGAATGTTGTCAGATTCTGTGCTTTTTTTCCAAATACTTATTGAAGTGGAAAACTTATTTCGTTTGCRAGGGAGTAATTACCTGATTTTTTGTCTCATCATTCCTCAATGCCCCCCACCCCCTCCTCCCCCGTGAAAAAAAAACATTTTGTTTGAAAAAGACTGCTAGATAGGTAACGAAGGCCCTTAACGAGAAATCAGTTGATCAATTTGAMGTTGGTAGGAAGGCAAATAAATGGTGCTCTTTCCTAATTTCGTCGTCGAGAAGCACTTTCCAAAAGAAACATAAGCGAGGATTGCTGTTTTCGATTGCGTTTGAAGCTGTTCCCCAGACAGGACATTCACTCTAGTTATGCCAGTTGGACAGTCATCACCGATCGAAACCAAGTCATGATTGGTCGAGAAAACAATGGGCAAGCAATAGATAGTCCGAAAAATACACCGGAAAAACCTTACCAAGCTTGAGTAATATTTAGGAAACAATCAAAGATCATGCAGGTTTTGATGAGTACTCTGTTTTGGATTTTATTCCATGTTCTTCTCTCTACAACACGCTTAAACACGTCGATTTGTTTGGCTGGCAGACTGGATGTGAGAGATCGATAGAATCAATAAGCGTTGATATTTCTTCTATTTTTTGATGGACTAAAGCTTAATTGTGCGTCAAAAGAAAATTGTGGTAAACAGTTATAATTTATTATGTTTTGTGTTCTCATTAGTTTTGCCATTTTGATCATTTTATCTGCTGGATCGAATGCGACCGTCTATGTTACAGTTTCCGACGTTGAAATTTCATGTAGATTTTTACATGTAATCATCTATGTTATCATTATCATGTACCTACTCGACATGATTCCGSCTGAACCTCTATACGAGAAAAGAAAGGATATTTACCGAGGTATATCCTATTATAATGCCCTTGGTTTCACGACTCAGCTAGTAATAATTGAATCATCTAATGCTTTGGTGAAAACGGGCGGTCATAATTTTTTGCTGAAAGGATAAAGCAGATAAAGAGCTCCCTATATGGTGAAGTTAACGATACCCACTTTGTTCTCTAGCATTTCTGTTCACTGAACTAAAATAATTTATATTATATCTTACATATAAATTCAAAAAAGCATGATCATATAACCCATATATGCATACCCTTGATCAAATCTTCAAAGTTTAGTAATAATTATGCTCACTTCTGTCGAAAAGACCAATTTATTCAAAATTACCCCCGCGGCAGATACAACTTTCAGCCCCTCCCCTCCCCTCAACCTAGAGTACTATTTCCACTATCACCCTACCCCCAGGGATCACCTTGACTTTTGAGCAAACAAGTCAGTTGACTGAACACCGTCAGTTGTTTTTGGAAAAAAATTAGCATACAGCACGAATGCTAAGAAGTCACGAGCAATATCGCACGGGTTTTGTCGAGTTGACAAATGTTCTTTACTTCATCGCTTTTTCTTGTCGCCATATTGTACAGCAGCGTTTCTGACTTTGGTTTAGCAGAAGATAGCTCGTTAGAGCACCACTTGGTCGATGGAAAGTCCGATTGTTTTGACGAGTGTCAAAAACTACGTTCATCCAAAGCAAAGGTAATTCAACAGTTAGATTTAAAGTAAAATATAGTTATAGAAAAAAAACTAACTGAAGCTGTACACTGTTAAACCGTTTTGTAGTTTTAAAATGTCAATCGAAGATTTCACCGCGCTGTCATCGACAATCAAATTTAGAGCAAAGTTCAACTTTTAGTATGTAKTGCGCAAATGGGAAGGCATGCAGAACTTTGAATCAGTTATTCCAATATAATAGATATACTACAATGTTTACCAAAATGTTCCCTTATCGTTTGATTATTAAGTGATCCAGTAGTTAGTAATCACGTACTCGAGTATCGAAAGTCTAGATATATGAATAATGYTCTACTTTAACTTTCGTTACACGTTTTAGTATCCAAACAATCTTGTTTCTGATCAGGAAAGTTCTGCAAAGTTATATATATTTACTTAAGGWCTGATGGTTAGGCYGTTCTTAGCCAAAACAACACTCGAATTATCTAGTTTAACCTCTAAAACATGCGATAAATGACYTCGTTGAATACAAAGCAAAACAGAACGCTATCTATTGACAATAGAACTGTGATTTATTTTGACAAACTCGACTTATGAGGAAGCTAAAATCAGGATATTTAGTTAATATTTAGGACTTAGAATAACAACCAAGTGTAAACTATCATTTAAAGCTGTCATTGTTCATTTTGAAGCATGAAAAAACAAGAAAAACAATTGTGGATTATTACGTCACAGCATGATAAAACAAAACGCTCACTGTTTAATTAAAAGTCTACAGGTAGTTGAACGGCTGCATTCGTTATAATTCTCAAGCCKCAACCAGGATTCATTACATAAAAGATCAAGTTGCCTCTGGACTTTTAAAACAATTTAGTCGGTGTGTTGCGGTCTAACCTCAGATCGTTGAGATCAATGATGAAGGTCGCATTTGATTAAAGTCAGGCCAGAGGCAAYTTGACTTGTTGTACTCCATTTGCTATTTTTGGTCTCCATGAAGAAATCAAGGAATCAGACACAATAACTATGATTAAATACGAAATAATTACGAAATAATTTTTTTTGGATTAATTGAACGAAAAAATCGTCGAATATATCTTCCTCAATCTTACTTTTAATAATACAAAATGGAGGTTTCACATAGGAACCATTTGACATTGAAATGGTAATGTAGTCATAGTATATAATGACACTAGAACTAATAACAACATAGGTTGCTAGAGGGTGAGATGTAAGTTCACGTCATGTGATTATATATTGCTTTTGRAAATTAAGGAACTCGAACTCTTAGATTGACTGCCGTCCGTTATAAACGCTATTGCAGAATAGATCCAATAACTATTACCAAAATGGTTGTCGGACTGAACGGTTAATGACCGATTATTACCGTGGGTATAAATTAGTACTGATGGGTGAAATTCAAAAATCTTCCGAAAAGCACAGATCAACATTACAATTAAACATCATTAAACCAAAGGTTGGATAAGATGTCCATATATTCCCTTGGCTGGTAACCTTCATGACAATATTGACAGCCTTTGATGCGAGAACATATCCCAAWAGTTAATCAATACGCATAATAACATTGAAGGCGTTTTTTCATAGTTCTCTCCAACGTTATCTTGTTAAAGCTATGTCTATAGCTATTTTAAGGAACTGTGTTGGAGCGAGGGGAGCTTGCACAACTGAGCCCCCGCTCTCCAGATATATCAATGTTTTAGTGTTCGAGTAATGCTAGCGTCTACCCGTGTACAGAAATCTGCAATAAGATACTGGTTGTATGCTATTCGYACACGCTACGTGCGGGCACAGATATTATTATTTTCAAAATTATAAAAAAAAAAATGTTAAAAAAATAAAAATAAAAAAATCCAGAAGCAAAAAACTMTTAAGTCAAGGTTACAAGCCTGAACTACAGAATTATATGTATAAGTAATGTATTTTGAATCGATGAAGTACTTCTTATTGGGGTTAATATTATCTTAGCTAACATGAAAAACTACCAATAATAAGATAGCGGAATACCTCCTTTCTGTCAACGGTTCCGACAGTTGACACCGTCCCCGGCCCCAATAAACCTTGAAATCTTTACTAAGATAAAAGTTCATAAAACTCTCTCAATCCCAATGTTATATTAAAATAATAAATCAAATRACTCTTACAGCTAACAGCTAAATAACAGATACTGCAGGTGATATTTCAAAAAATTAAACTTGACTTTGTTATTAATCTTCAGCGCAATTCTTGGGTTTCAACCCCCGAAGTGAAAATTTATTAGTCGCTATTTTCAACAACCAAGTAGCGAGTCATAATATAAGAGCATAGTCAGATTATCTAGAATACGAGGTTTAAGTCCTTTAGCTTACTTTCTGATGAAGAATAAGCGGTAAAGATTTAAAATATTTGGTTAATTCAGTTAATATATTTGTATGGGGACGCCATATGACGGCTCATTTCAAATTGGCTTCAAAAACTGGGTTACTTTTGTAAATTTTGATCAATTATGGCTTTAATTCAAAGAATAACAAGAACAACCGTAAGTAAGCAAAATGGCATGGTCATGGGACCATGATTGCCATGTTTAACTTGAAAAATTCACTTGCTGGGTTAACCATATTGAATTTTAAACTAAATGGAGCCGTGATAACCACAGACTATCTTACGGTATAAATCAGTTATTATTTTCCATCCTTAAGAAAATCTGTGGCTCCATCCTTTCGGTCGTGCATTCGCTGTTTGACAATTGCCATTCACCTTTTTTCCCAATAACTTTTCCTGAAATAGGTATATAAAATTCTATAAAGCCTTTGAAATAATGCATTGTCATATCAGTTCGTTCAGTAAACAATATCCTGTACATGATGTGTTTATCGCAATCATTCCAACAATGTTGTTATATGAATACAAAATCAAACATCATAAGATTTATTGCGAATTAAAACCTGTTATACGAGATGATCTGTGGATCTAGAAACACGTTGTGCTTYGATTTGCTWATAGCTTATCTTAGATTATTTTCGTGTCAAACGTTTTAAGGCAAYRCATATATTTTTCTTTTCTTTCTCTTGAAGTGTTTATGYCGTGGCTATTGGACCTTGTCCGGTTCAAATAGCAATAATTTTTCAGATACAAGATAATTCCACGTCCAGATATTTCCGTAAAAGGCTAGTTCGTGGTACATTCCCACTGTATTTGTAGTACTGATACAATTGCTTGAAGTGAGTTTTAAAAAAACTCTAGATGTTATCACTTTGTTTCAACAAATGAACCACATATTCATAATACACATATTTGAATTATAATGACAAGTTTGATTTGGTCAAGAAAGATGGCTTTAAAAGACAAAGTGATTGCAAAGTGTAACCCTTCATTCGAAAATCTGATATGAAGTTATTTGATGTTTATTGACGACTGAATTTGGACAAAATTCTAACGTGAAAACCGATTAAATGGGATGCCATTTATAGATCCACTGTATGACCCACTTACTACACAACATTTTAAGGAGATTTGCAACTGGACACAAATCATCGATTAAACAATGATTATTGCCTCCATCTAACCACTGTCCAATCAATTTAAGAATGAACCATAAATTTCTAGTGTCCATACTTGTAAAACCGATCGGGCAAAATCCAGTCTTCTCCAATGCCACTGTACAGATAGTTGGATTTCTTAGATTCTTTACACGTATATATATTAACTTAGCGTATAGTTTTAATATTATATTGTAAATATTCCTTAACCCAGCTGTCTCCAAGGGTTTTTATAACAAACTATCTGCCTTTCTATCGTCTATCGTTCTACACTTTTCTTAAAGGGACAKGGTCCACCAGCATTCAATGCGGTCGTGTTTTAGATTTTTCGTATATGGAAAACKAGGTGACCTCGAATATCCATTCGCAATCCGTTCATCGGTTTAAAGTTCGAGTCTTACAGTATCTCCATTCATATAGTATAAAGGGATAATAAAGAGTAAGTTTTTGCTAATATTGCGATGTATTTTCATTTTCAAACATGAGCAAAAGCTWGAAARGGATGCTGGTGGACTTTTTTCTTMCAGTGTAACCTTTAACCTTTCCTTTGACCTCTGACCACTGTTCRTTTTGGTTAAAGGTTGGTACCAACTGCCGCCAAATGTGTTTGAATGGAAGAAGAAGGAAGAGATCAATAGACGATGGCCAGGGAAAGTACTATGGTATGTGTATTACAGTAATTCATAGTGGATTTGCTTGTATCTTTTTTTTAATTCTTTATTAATAAATTCTTCAATTTTACAATTTCTAGGTCTTTCTAGATGTTATTTATAGCTTTTTTAGTATAGCTTTCTTTAGTTGCTTGCATCTTCAGTGAACAAACACTTATTTGAACTAAGCAGTAGCGGATCCTGGGGTACTATTCGGACTCACCTTTGTGCATTTTCAACTTTTTAACAAACGTAATTAAAATAGTGCATGCAGCTATTTCAAAAAATGTTAAATACTGTACACAGCATGGTGCATTTAATTGCATTGTTGGTAATAAACCCCACTATGGGTGCGTTCAAAAAATGACAACTCTCAAATTCATTACTTTCTATTGATGATCTTG